GAGAGAGAGAGAGAGAGAGAGAGAGAGAGAGAGAGAGAGAGAGAGAGGAAGAAAGAACAAACCCAAACAACCAACCAAAACAAAACCTCCTTTCTCGGGGATGGGGATGGTTTGGCATAGGAGAGCATTTGTTGGTCTTGGAGCGGACCTGAGTTCAGTTATCAGAATTTACTCTGAATGTCTTCTTTTGACTTCTGCAAGCACTGCATTCAGAAGCACATAGTTCCACAGACAGGCGGCAGGCAGGCAGGAACGTGCATGCGTGCGTGTGCGCACACACATACACACATACACACATACACACACACACACACACTTTAAAATTTTTAAAGAGGTTATCTATTTTCCTAAGTTACTTCACTAACCATTTGCTATAGGTTAGGTATTTATCCTTCATAAACTCATGTGGGAATTCAGTTGCCACTGTGACAGTATTAAGAGCTGAGCTCTTAAGAAGAGACCAACTGGCCAGGTGGTGGTGGCGCACGCCTTTAATCCCAGCACTTGGGAGGCAGAGGCAGGTGAATTTCTGAGTTCGAGGCCAGCCTGGTCTCCAGAGTGAGTTCTAGGACAGCCAGGACTACACAGAGAAACCCTGTCTCAAAAAAACTAAAAAAAGAAAAAAAAAAAAAAAAAAGAAGTGACCAACTGATGAGGGCTTGGTGGAGCTTATGCTGCCCCTCTGCTCTTTGGTCTCCTGCCATGTGGTAACACAGTAAGAAAGCTCTTTCGGGATGCCAGTGTTTTGATCTGGAGCTTCTCAGCTCCTAGAGCTATGAGCCAATGAATCTCTGTTCTGTATCTGGTAAGATGACTTAACAGGTAACGGCAGTTGTACCATAAGGCTGGTGACTGGAGTTTGACCCTGGAGCCATGTAAAGGTGGACAGAGAGCCAAGTGACTCAGCCGTCCTCTGACTCCACTCATGCACTGTGTGCACAAGCCCACACCTCCACAATGCACACACACAGACGACACTAATAATAAAATAAACACATGTACGGGAAGCATCTCAGTCTATGACTTTGTTATAGCAGAATGAAACAGACTAAATGACGAACCAAAGAGAATTATTGCCTCAGAGAAGTCCATGCCTCTCGGTGGGTACAGCAGGGGTAACCAGGCAGATTGTGGATGTTCTAGGTCACTGGGCAGGCAGAAGTGTCTAACTTTGTGAGAAGTACCGTTTTATAGCTACTTAACGTTAAGGATGACTAATTGTGTACAAAGCACAGAAGAGATGGGCTACACAGATGGGCAGCAGTTTTCTTATTCTGAATAGCACTATGAATGCCCAGAGCACCAGAGCTCCTCCAGTGTAACAGAGCTGTCACTGGATTGACTCGGCACCAACTTCACTCTTCAGTATGTGCTTCTCCAAAATGGACAGAATTCCTTAAAGAATGCCTCCTCATAAGCCATCTCAGGGAGGAGCAGGGTAGTAGGAAGACGACCTCTCACACCTCTGGCTGCTGTAGGGTAGGTAAGCCAGGGATGCAGAAGGAGATCACAAAGTCCTGCCCAGCTGTACTCTTAGAAGACGCAAGCCCATGCATGTAGCCGCAGCCTCAGCTGCTGATGACTTCTCGGAGGGTCGAGGGGAGCCCCAGATGACTGGGGCTGACACTGACGTCTCCTGCCTACCACCTCCTGAGAGTGCTGAGGTCACAGCCCTCTGGTTACTTTCTGGACACAGGGACCAGTATGGCATCTGCCCACTCTGACTCACTCTGCAGGCCCATAAATGCCCTGCAGGCGGCCCAGCGTCCTTCCCGAGTCATACTCTCCTCTGCAGATCATGATACCAGTCACTGACTGCCTGTATCCCACCTGCTCTCAGTTTTCCTGGGGGCACAAGGCCCTGAAGTCAGTCCCAGCACTGGAAAACCAACCAACCAACCAACCAAACAAACAAACAAATGGGGGGTGGGGGAGGAGGAAAAGGAGGCATAGTCACAGGGGTCCTGTTTCCAGGCTAACCAGCCCTAGAATGTTCCCAGACCTGCTTTCTGCAGCCAAATGACATGAATTTTGCTGACTGTTGATGTGTGAACCTCAGAATCAGCCCAGGAGTAGGGGCCTAAAGCAGGAGCTCCTAGGGTTGGCTTTACTTCATTTTCTTGACTGACTTCTCAATTCTTTTATTCTCTAATATATTTAAATCAGTCACTAAATACTTAGAGAAAGGTATTTTTGGTTAGATAATTTCAAGCTAGAATATTCAACTTGAAACACCAAGGTAAACCTGATGTAGCAATGGAGAATACAGATTAACATTTAAAAAAATCATTAATTTTTTTTTTGACCACTATGTGGTCCCGGCTGTCCCAGAACGCACTCTGTAGACCAGGGTGGCTTCAACACCCTCAGACATCTGTCTGCTTTGGTCTCCTAGGTGCTGGGTTTGTTGAAACCCAGCTAAACTGTTTTTAGTGGGTGGTAGAGATAAGCCTAACAAACACGTATTACTATAGATACTACAAACTTACTGATGTAAAATTCACAATGAATTCCTGCATCTGGGTTTCCCCCAGCCCTGTATGGTTCACAGGGCTTCTGGGCTGCAGAAGCAGGAAATCCAACAGGGAGGTTTCCAGGTCCAGAGAACTGATGCCGGGTACTGAACTGAAAGAGGAAGTGCAGGCAGACGCACACTGTGCATAACTTACATGCAACACTGATAGAGAGGGGCAAGGATGCTTCTCTCATCCAGCGAGGGGTTCCCAAAGCTGAAAATGGAATGAAGACAAGAATTAGGTGCAAGTTCCTGTTCCCTTCTCCACATCAAAGCAAGCGCATAATCTATAAAAACCACCCATGAGCCTAGATCACTTCCTGCTCCAACTCTCAAACCATTTACATTAAAAATAAGCTAGGCATGACTAATCAGACACAGGGTCATTAACAGCCTGGACTAAAGTATCAAGCAGCAAACAAACTCCTTTTCCTGCCAAGATGCTGCAAGATGCTGGAGCATAACTGTGGGACCTCCACAGTTCTCAGTCCTAAGGGGGAAGGCACAAATCCTAAACCTGTAAAGCTTTCTAAAGGTCTGCAAAGAAATCTAGGTTCTGCTAGAGTCCCCGAGAGGTAGGTGGCTATTACTTCCAGAATCACTAAAACCATATTCCAGCAAGCCAGCCTGAAAACTACCCAGGGCTTTCAGAGGCCAGGACGACATAAAAATGGTATGGAAAAGACTGTTAGGAAAGGAATGGTCATTCTAGGAAACTGGCTACCTCCCACTCTTTCTGGAACTCTCCTTCATGACTGAAGACTCACTATGCCCCAGGGACAGTGCTGTGAAAGCAGCTGCCTAGTGTGAACAGCACTATTTGTGCTGCTCACAGATCTTGTGGCTACTCAATCTCCAACACAAGGCTGTAAGAAGTGAGGCTTGGGAGGTTAAGTCCAGGATAGTTTGATCCCAAGTCTTCCACCCCAGCCCCAGGCTCATCTGCTAAGGCACTAGAGGCCAGCCCAAAGCTCTACTGAGAGGTGAAGAAGCCTTCGGGAGGTAGAGGCCAGCAGAAAGAAGTTAGATCACTGGTGTGCACTATTGATGGGATTCTGGGACCTGGCCTCTCTACTTCCCAGATGCCGCGGGACCAGCCGCTTCTCCATGAATGCTTCTGCTTCATCACAGGCCCAAGAGCAATAAAGCCAGCGTGCTTCTGAAACCGTGATTGGAAATAAGCCTCTCGTTACTATGGGTGGATTTATGTCAGTATTTGTGTCTGAAAGCTCACTAGCACAGTGCCCTAGAGAATGCCCCTCTTTCACACAGACACTGACAAAGCCAGTCTTGCTGCTCTGTACCTTTTGGCATTATCAAGAAGAATAAGCATGCTAGCTCCTTCATCATCTTGAAAGCTTTCATAGTGATGGCGGTCAGCATTGCCAATCAAGTAATCAAAGACAGCCGTGTCAATGACGTCCAGGAGGCGTGGGCCTGAGTCATAGGGAGACGTTTTCTTCACAGCATCGCAGTAGCTCTCATCATATTCCCACCTGGAGGCAAGGAGCATGGTAAGGGTCACTGACTGCCAACCACACCTGAGTGTAGCTCCTAAGAGCAAGGGCCATGTGTTAACAGTTTGGGTCCCAGACTATGGTGTTATTAGGAGGTGGGGCCTTATAGAGGGAAGGTAAGCTGTTGAAACAACTGTAGAAGGTGGATATGGCTCTCTTGGCCTTTCCTCTTACTGTTTGCTTCCTAGCCACCAGGAGCAGAGCAACGTTCTTCCACAGCGTACGTGTGTTGCCCTGATACTGTCTTACCATAGATCCCAAAGCAACAGAGTAAACCAAGCTGGGCTGAAACTTCAGACACTGTGAGCCAAAGAACCTTTCTTCATTTAAAATATTAGGTATTTTGTTAGAGACAGAAAGCTATGGAGAAAGCTGGTATCAAGCACCACAGTGACCATCCCTGATAGTGAGGCTCAAGGGCCTGTAGGTCTGGTTTGCAAAATGAGAAGAGTTTAGAGAAGCAAGCTAAGGAAAGTAGAGTGTGCTGGAAGCACAGAGTGCTGGGAGGAGCTGGTGGGGACCGGTGGCTGGTAGGAATAGAGAGCAAAGCTGTGCTGATAGGTTGGGGATGGAGACAGGGGCTCCACTGGGCAACAGACGAGAGGCTAATCATGTTACATTCTGAAGAAAATCTGTCTATGTTTTGTACATATTCTGAGACTTTGTGGATTGGCTTTTATGGTAGAGGTAACTTAAGGCAGCAGTGTGGGGATTACTGACTTCTTTTAGCCATATTTACTGTGAGAAGTGGAAGCAAAAAGACCTAGAAAACTTGTAGTTGAACCAGGAAAGAAGCACACATAAAGCTCAAGTCAAGAGGGGTAAAGTTGCTGAAGAGATGAACACCATGAAAAAAGCCAAGTGCTTTACACTAGGATGGTAGGAAAGGTACCTTGTGGCATCTCAGGAACCTGCAAGATCCAGCCCATCCCAGGTTAAACTTCTATGTCCTACCATCAACACACTCAAGAGGCCACTGTAGTCCAAGAGGGCCTGGATAAGCCCCAGATGGTGCCAGACCTTGGCATCATGTGTGATGCAAATGAAGCAGCATTCGTGATACATACTGTGGAGCCACTCCCACTGAGATTGCAAAGGGGTCTTGGGAGGGAACAGGCAGGTTCCTCCAGCAGCCACCAGTGTGACATACAGAGCCGTGAGAGTGAAGCTAAAGCTGCAATGGACATTCCATAAGCCTGAGACACAGGGAATGTGGAATACTTGCCCACCGAGGAAAGCTATGGGCAGTGAGCAAAACTATCTCAAGACAGCAGCTTTGTGGCTTCACCCACAGGGACAGGGTTGCCTGAGCTTTTTGCAGCTCACATTACACCAATGTGAGCCCTTAATATGGACATGGAGCTAGAAGATATTTTTAAAAAAACTTATTTTTTGCCGGGTGGTGGTGGCGCACGCCTTTAGTCCCAGAACTTGGGAGGCAGAGGCAGGTGGATTTCTGAGTTTGAGGACAGCCTGGTCTACAGAGTGAGTTCCAGGACAGCCAGGGCTACACAGAGAAACCCTGTCTCGAAAAACCAAAAAAAAAAAAAAAACCAAAACCAAAACCAAAAAAACTTATTTTTATTTTATGTGCATTGGTGTTTTGCCTGTATGTATGTGTGAGGGTGTCAGATTCCCTGGAACTGAAGTTGCAGACAGTTGTGAGCTGCCACGTGGGCGCTGGGAATTGAATCTGGGACCTCTGGGAGAGCAGTCAGTGCTCTGAACTGCCGAGCTACCACTCCAGCCCCCTAGATTTGTTTTAATAAATTATTACTATTGTGTGTACACGTACACACAATATGTATGTAGGGAGTGTGTTAGTGGCATGGCACACATGTGGATGTCAGAAGACAAATCTGTAGAGCTGGTTCTCTCTCTCCTCCTTATAGTCAGTCTCCTTCTGGTGCCTGAGGCTTGTGTAGCAGGCACCTTTACCCAGTGTCTATCTCACTGGCCTGAGCTGGAGGATTTAATGTCTGTTCTTGGTTTTGTCCAATCCTGGCTTTCTCTATTCTTTGGAATGAGAGTGCTTCTCCAGTGCCATTGTATCTTGCAAGCATAAAACTTGGGTTTTGGGTTTTTTTTGTTTTTAAATTTGTGTAGGGCTCACAGCTTACTATTTGCCTTCTGTCTCAGAGACTTTAGATGTAGGCCTCTCAGCAATATTGGTACAGTTAAGATTTGGGAACTCCTAGAGGGGAACCGAACATATTAGGCAGAGATGAGCCTGTGAAGACTAGCAGCAAATGCTATCTATGGCTTATATTTAAAAAGCAACAAAAAATATGTATTTTACTTTTGTTTGTGTGTGTGTTATGCATGCCTGCATATGTGTGTGTGTGTGTGTGTGTTAGTGCACTACACGCATACAGTTGCTAGTGGAGGCCTGAAAAAGCTGCTGGATTCCTGAAGCTGAAGTTACAGGTAGTTGTACGCTCCGAATGTGAGAGCTAGAAATCAACTTCAGGTCCTTTGCAAGATCAGCAGGCGCTCTTGAACCCTGAGGTATCTCTCCAGACTCCTAGGGTTTATATTCTAAATGTCCACTAAAGGCCATGTACTAAAGCCCTGGTTTGGCCTGTGGACCTTTCAGTAGCTATTGGATCTTTAGGGTATGACAGAAGTGTAGTTACTGGGAAAGTGCCTGGAAGAGGATAAAGGGGATATTCCAGGGAGTCCCTGCCTAGCCAGTTTGCTCCTGGTCCTTTCTCTCTGCCTTTGCTTTCTGGCAGCAACACAATAAGCAGCCCCTGCCATCACAAGCTTCTGAAGTGATGTACTGTGCCACTAGAAGCCCAAAGTAATGTGGCCAAAATTAATCTCTCCCCCCCCCACCCTTTTTTTTTTTTTTTTTTGGTTTTTCAAGACAGGGTTTATCTGTAGCTGTCGTGGAACTCACTCTGCAAACCAGGCTGGCCTTGAACACAGAGATCTGCCTGCTTCTATCACCTGAGTGCTGGGATTAAAGGTGTGCACCACTGCTGCCCCAGCTTAATCTCTCCTCTGTTTAGTGATAGAAAGATGGCTGACAAACCAGCACTGCTGAAAACAGGGCCCTGCCTAGCAGGTCTGCCCCTATTCCACAAGTCTTTTTACTCATGGACAGATGGCTGGCTCAGTACAGCAAAGACTTAAATCATGGCTCACAGGAGCACTTACCTGGCCAGTTTGCCTTCTCGGTAAGTCCTGCCCCAAGGATGTCGGTGTTTCTGCAGAGGCCACACATCTGGAAGCCAAAGTGTGACGGATCCCTCCATCATGTCGCCATCAGCACACGCTGGCTCTGTTTCTCGGCAATAGTAGCACTTCCCATAGAAACAAGTATTGTTCCCTGCAGGGTAGACATGAGCCAGATATACTGAAGAAACAAAACTAAGAATCCAAATTCTCCCTCAAACAAGACTGAACAGCTAAATAAAAAGGCATCATGACAATCAGAACCCTGATGCTAGTCCATTTCACACATGTATTTTCCTATGTAGGTGATAAAAGCAAACAGTGTAAAAAAAAAAAAAAATCCCAAATGAATGGAAGGCTATCTATCTACTAGAAAGCAAATCTTCCTGTGTCTCCCTTTTCCCCAGCCTCTTTCCCAGAAGTCAACTATCATCACAGTCTTGCTCTCAACTCACAATTAAAAGCAATCTCTTCTTGTTCTTTATTAGAGCTGAAGTTTTAGCCAAAGTACCCAGAGGTGAGAGTGCAGACATATACTTAGCTTGGTCACATCGAGAGAGACAGTTAGTGAACAGACTGAGGGTAATGGACTAGTTTTCTCAATGATGGCAAAGGAAGTAAACACAGAAAGTAAGACGGTCAGAATAAAATCCTGCCATGAATTAGAATCAGAGATTCTAGTTTTAGTACACACGCAGATAAAAGACACAGATGTATTTGCTCATGTATCTGTTTATACACACATATATTTCCTACCCTGACATTCAAGAGAACCTAGAAACAATGAGATCCAGGACTTATTCAAACACCAGTTCCCCCCGTCCTTTCCCCTCTTTCTTTCGTGGTATAGGGCCTCATACATGCGAGGCAAGTACAGTAACACTGTGCTATATATCCAGACCTCTGTTTCCTTTTAAGGCTGGCTTTGACTTACAATCCTCCTGCCTCCATCTCCCAAATGGCTGGAATAGAAGATTATACCACAAAGTATAGCTTCATGTATCATTTTTTTTTTAAAGATTTATTTATTTATTTTATGTACAACATTGCTCTCTCCAGACACACCAGAAGAGGGCGTCAGATCCCATTACAGATGGTTGTGAGCCACCATGTGGTTGCCAGGAATTGAACTCAGGACTTCTGGAAGAGCAGTTGGTGCTCTTAACTGCTGAGCCATCTCTCCAGCCCCATGTATCATTTTCTAAAGACTATTTTAATGCTACATTAAAAAGAAAAAAGAGGGCTCCTTGGAGAAGCAGCTGCCTCCAGTGCTGAGTGAGGGAAGGTCCTAGTGAGTCTGGGCTTTAGTGACACTGCCAGCTGCAAGGCAGTGCTCTGAGACCAGCGAGACCATTCCAAAAGGCTCGAGGCTGCTCACTGGGTCCCCACTGGCATGTCGGGGGAGTCAGAACATCAACATAAAAAATAATAGTAAGAAATTGCAGAAATTTAAGTCAGCGAGCTTATCATGATATGAGGAAAGAAATGCATGTGAGAGGTGTTCTCATCTAAACAGAATGCCTACCAATGAGTCTATAAAGCAACGACAGATTATAAACTACCATTTCACAAGTATCATAATAGCTGACTCAAACACTAATGATCAATGTGCTAACCTGGGGATTACAGTTTGATAAGGAATGGAGTGTTTATAGGGTTCTGCCTGGGATGTGACGCCCAGTGGCAGAGCTTTTGCTTAGCATGCATGAGGCACTACAGTCAACCTCATACTGCATGGGATAGGGTAGGAGCATGGAAGTAATTAGATATTAATATAATCGTAAAGTACTTGCTTATAAAAGCCACCGCTAAAAATGCATGCTTGAGAGGCTGAGGCCTTTTACATTTTGATAGCTAGTCAGTAAGTGCCCTCTCAGCAAGGTAGTGCCCTCCCCCTTTGTTCAATGTATGAGTGCTCTGTTTGTGTATACATCTGCATGCCACAAAAGGGTATTAGATCCCTTTATAGACAGTATTGAACTACCATGTGGTTGCTGGGAATTGAACTCAGGACCTCTGTAAGAAGAGCCAGTGTTTTTAACTGCTGAGCCATCTCTCCAGCCCTGGTAGTGCACACCTTTAATCCCAGCACTTGGGGTAAACAGAGGATCTTCTGTGAGTTCAAAGCCAGCTTGGTCTACATGGGGAATATCAAGACAGCCAGGGTTATATAAAGAGGCCCTATCTCAAGACAAAAAAACAAAAAACAAAATCAAAATCAAAAAACAACTAGCCAAACACACAAACACACACACACAGCTCCCTCTTTGCTCCTATCTTAGGATCATTTTCACAGTTCTTTACGCTTCCCTATGACCTTTAAAAGAGCCTAGTCTGTGTTCACTCTAAAATGTTAGTATTTCTACTATAATTGCTTAATTTGTAATTTTTTATTTTTGTAATCATAAGCATTTACATATGTTACTTTCAATTGGTCGAAATTATTTTAAGGTTGCTGTCCAGTGATGGCACACACCTTTAAACCTAGCACTTGGGAGTCAGACACATGTGTATCTATTAAGTTGGAGGCCAGCCTGGTCTACAGCCCCAGTTCCACATTAGCCAGGGCTACACAGAAATATCCTATCTCAAAAACAAAACAATACAACAACAAGAAAAAGAAGAAAAGAGAAAGAAAGAGAGAGGGGGGGGAGGAAGGAAGGAAGGAAGGTAGGAAAAAAGAAAAGAAAGGAAGGAAGGAGGCAGGAAAGAAAGGAAAGAAAGAAGGAAGAAAAGAAGGAAAGAAGGAAAGAAGGAAGGAAGAGGTACCTTACCAGCTTTGTGTTTGTGGGTGTGCTGTAGTTGATTAGCTGAGTAGTACAGACTGTACTCAAATTTCTGGAGTTAAAATACAAATGGGGGAGTTGGGCTGGAGATAGAACCCAGAGACTTGTGCATACAGCAACTGCTCTGCCACTGTATAATGTCCCAGCCCCTAAGACATAAGCTGTATAAGTCAGGGACTGCGTGGTGCTGAACGTGTCATTACAGCTCTCCACGTACGCGCATCCCTCCAGTGAGATGGTGGAAAGGAGACAAGTCTGCGTCTAACACGCTCAGAGATCAATCAACAGCATGGTTACTCTTTTTTTTTTTTTTTTTGAGACAGGGTTTCTCTGTGTAGCCCTGACTGTCCTGGAACTCATTCTGTAGACCAGGCTGGCCTCGAACTCAGAAATCCGCCTGTCTCTGCCTCCACCTCCCTAGTGCTGGGATTAAAGGCGTGCACCACCACTGCCCGGCTTGCGGTTACTCTTAATAATATGACTCAATGTGCTTTTCCTGAGTCTCTGACCACTTCATGGACACACTCAACTCCGGAAACAGCTTATCTGATCACTCAGGTTCTCCTTTCTCTCCTTGGGTGAACTGAACTATCAAATCTAAGCTTCCATCTAGACTTTTCTCCTCTAGTTATTGACTAGTTTATACAAACGTGTAGCGAGAGTTTTGGTTTCTTTAAACCAAAAAAACAGAACCCAGTTCTGTTATGTGAATATGTTTTTGTTTTAATCCCAGGTGTGGCATAAGAGATTGCTTCACAACAAGTGATTATGATTTGCCTCATGCTCTAGCAGGGACATATCTTTGCCAGCTGTGGATAGTCTAATTCTGGGGACCCTGGAGAGGGAATAAATGCCAGAGCCCCAAGAGAGAAAGTGTGTGTGTGGAGGGGGGGGGGCACTCCAAGAAGAATGCTGCTGCTCCTGGCTGCTGCTGCTCCTGGCTGCTGTTGTGAGGTCTGTCAAGTGTTTGTGAGCAGAGACTAAAAGTTGGAGATACAAAGATTGGGCCTGCCCCAAGAAACACAACACCCCTAATCAGCAAGTAGTCTAAAGAGGTCTACGCCCCCTTTCCTCTCTACTCTTCTTTCTCTCCTACCTAGTGTTGATAGGTTGGAAGGGATTAGGGTGGAACAAAAATTGGAAAGGAGGTAGAGCTGTAAGAACCCAATAAAGTAGCATAAAAAAATATGCCAACACAAACTCACAGATGACCCTGAAACAAAATATCCAAAACAGATGTATTATCTTTCTGTACCACTTCACGTCTTTCCTGAACACCCCTCAGTTAACTGCGTCTGTATTCACTTGGCTATCCAATCTAGAAACTTGGAGTCCTTCTTAAGTTTTTCTTTCAGCGTACTGTCCTCCTAGCCTCACGGCTTATGCTCCAGTTAGGAATCTCTATCTATCTGTCTTTCTATCTCCATCCTCATCTTAGCTCTGTCTCTCAAAAATCACTTCACCAGCTTGTAAGGGCTGTTATCTTCTGATTCTCCCATCATCATTCCCCCTCCAGAGTCACAATTAGCTTTCTAAATTCAAATCTGATAAAGTCATGGTCAGATTCCCTCAGCAGCTCCCAATGTCCAAGGAGAAGGCTGATCTCTCCAGTGACTCTGTCCTGACTACTTCCTCTCATTGGCTAAACCCACAGGCACCCTCTACTTGACCACACACTCTCCTGCGTCTCTGATCTGCTCATCTTCTCTCCTCAGCCTAGATCAATGTTAACTACTCAGGGAAGGGTGGGGTGAACTGGACGGGAACAAAGTTACAACCTTATTTACACTAAGCCTCTATCTGAAATTTAGTGTTTCAACCAATTATGACAACAGGAACCATAACCTAAAATTTCCTGTCTCTGTGTCTCTAAAAGAAATCAGAGTTTTCCATATTGTGTTATCATTTTGTATATTTTTTTGAGACAGGTATTGCTTTACCTCATTTTTAAGGATGAATCTATTCATTCTAGTAAGAAGCAAATTGAAGCCAGGCAGTGGTGGCACACGCCTTTAATCCCAGCACTTGGGAGGCAGAGGCAGGCGGATTTCTGAGTTCGAGGCCACCCTGGTCTACAGAGTGAGTTCCAGGACAGCCAGGGCTACACAGAGAAACCCTGTCTCGAAAAACCAAAAAAAAAAAAAGCAAATTGAAGTTCATTTTTCAATGTCTGTTTCTCATTTATGCCATGAAGTAGAGCACTGAAAAAGTCACCAAAAGGAGGCAAAGTCGAGAGAGCATAGCACCTCTAAATTCTTCCTGTTCTATCATGCCTACAAGAGCAAGACTGGGGAGATCCTTGCACTCGGGAGGATAATGGGAACCAAGGCCGGGGCATCTTAAATTACCAACTAACTCTTGAAGACAGAGCAGTGACCCAAATACAATTCTACAGTAGAACAATCATCTTATGATCTAAAGACTCAGAAGTGTTTGGGCTTCGATTCTTATTATTTATTTATTTTTAGGTGGTGGGAGCACACATATGGCGATTGGAAGTTGATACTGAGTGCCTTCCTCACTGAACCTGGAGCATAATACCAATTCCACTGGATGGAACAGTGATCTCCAAGAATCTGCCCATCTCCAATTCCTCAGCACTAGAAATACAAGTGCCACTTCCATATCTGTTTTTCACATGGGTATGGGGATTCAAACTCAGGTCCTCGTGCTTATATAGCAAGCACTTTATTGACTAAGCTACGTCTTTAGCCCCTGGGCTTCCTCACTTCTCAGAAGAGAGTTCTCAAAGGAATGCATGTATTAAAAATATCCAGGACAATGATATGCAGACAGGAATCGATTTAGGCCAAATCCTGCATTTGAAGCTTAGCCAGAAGATCAAACAGAAATAAAGTTACTGCATTTGCTATTGGTAAATTACTTCACTTCTTACTTCAAGAAGTATATATTAGGGTGAAATTCTCATTTTCCATTCTCACCATTAGACCTAATTTCCACACTTAACATGAAACCAGGGTGCCTATTTGCTTTTATGCTCCCTTGAGTTCTTTAGGTATGAAAGAGATGCAACTAACCTGCTCAATGATGCCCCACTTATTTACCTTACTGACCAGGACCCTATTCAGATACCCTCCAAAAATCTCTTACCTACAGTCAGGAAGGTGCTCAGCAGCTGCTCCGTGGCAACAGGCTTAATTTCTGATCGCAGATTAACATATCTGCCAACGACCAAGGGAGCTCGGCGGAAACCCAGAATCCTAGTTTCGAAGGTTGAAGAGAGAAGAGAGAAATCTTTGGGGATGTATTTTAAGTCTCAAAAACCATGATCAATCCTGTTAAAGATATTAAGGTTTCAGAGGTAGGTAGGTGACTAAATCTTGGTTTTCAGAGGTACATAAAATTCATTATGTCAAGATGTACATTATTCAACAGTTCAGCAAAAAAAGGAGTGGGCAAGTCAAGCGATGTGTAAAACACTGTTAAGCCTAGGGAAGGGGAACACGGGCATATCACAGTACCCTCTACTAGAAAATTTTCATAATCAAAACTAGAAATAAGTGTTAATAATAAAGCATTAGAAACTCGGATGGATTAAAAGCTTTCATAAACTAGGGAAACTGACCAAAACAACACACCCACACAGCAATTTAAATAAAGGCATATTTGAAGGTCTTTCTAATAGTAAGCACTAGAAAATTATATATATAATTTTATTTTATTTTTTTTGAGGCAGAGTCTTACTATGCTGGCTTACTTGGCTGGCCTAGAACTGGTAAGTAGACCATGTGGCCTCAGACTCAGAGACCCTTTGCCTCCTAAGGGCTGGTATTAAAGTTGTACACCACCACAACTATTACTGTCTTTTAGAATGACATTTTCTGATAAAAATTACACATTCCCTAAAGAAAGTTTAGAGGGGCAGAACTTTAAAACTAATAACGAAGAAACTAAGGTCATCCTTAATTCTCAAGTCTAGCAACTGATTTTTGGGCATCAGCATTTTTTCTCACATTTGTAAAAACACAAGGGCATATATAAATATATACACACACTTGGCTTATCACCTTTTTTTTTTTTTTTTTTTTTTAGCTTTTTTAGACAAGGTTTCTTTATGTAGCCTTGGCTATACTAACTCTCTGTAGACCAGGCTGGCCTTGAACTCGCAGAGATCCACCTGCCTTTGCCTCCTGATTGCTGGGATTAAAGGCGTATGTCACCACTGCCACAGCATCTTCTTTCTTTCTAAACAGGATCTCACCCTGTAGCCCAGTTTACCTGTGAACTCATGGCAATTCTCTTGCCTCAGACTCTCAAGGGCTGGGATTACAGGCATAAGCCACCACACTTGGCTTAACAGTAAACATATCTACATGGAGAATAGTTTACTAAACTAATGCCATGGATAACTGTATTTTTGCCAATAATTGGGGGAGATATAAAATTAAATAGTGACATATGGCTTACATACATTAGACTGATGAAATGTACTATGCTGGGTACACTGATCCAGAAGTGAGGAATAAGGCTCTCTTCATTATCTGCTGGTGTCCAACAAATAGAAAGTAGGGAGTTTGAAGGGAAGACAGCAGACAGACAAGGCTAATTCTAACGTTTGACTGTGTGAGGCAGTTGGCTTTCTGCAGCTTTGCCTGTAGTTCCTTTAGAAGGCTCCAGACATCCACAGTATAAACTCACTTAACTCCATCCCTAGCTAGACTATTAAGTTACCGTCAAGTTTTCTCTACTACAAAATGCTAGTAAGATATGTGTGTATCTATAAACTTTGCTGTGAACAGTAAGATTTCTGGTACAAAAAGATGCTTTAAGCACAATGCTTTAAGCAACATATAAATTAAATATATTCCTGACAATAAGACATTATCTTTAAAAAAAGTTCTGTCATTTCAGCAGGTGAAAACAGCAGTTTCATGGGATTTTTAAACATTTCTAGTGACAAGAAACCTGTCCAGTATTCATTAGCACCTCTAATAATTGCTGTTATTCTCCTAAACTATTTACAGTACTTATTTATCCATTTTAGTCAGGCTGAGACAGTAGCCTAGGCTAGCCTCAAACTCCAGCTTCTTCTTCCTTATCTAAGATCAAGGATTATAAGTGTGCACACATGCCCAGCTCCACTTGTGTTAGTTTGTTCCTTCCTTCTTTCTCTTTTAGATTTTTTGAGACAGTTTCTGTGTAACAGCTTTTCTTTCTTTTTTTAGAAAAGCATTTATTTTATGTGTATGAATGTTTTACCTGCATGTATATATGTATGTAAACAATCTGCTGTCTGTTGGATTCTCTGAAACTGGGGTGGCAGGTGGTTGTATGAGTGCTGGAAATCGAACCTAGGTCCTTAGGAAGAGCAGTAAGTGCTCTTACTCATTAAGCTACCTCTCCAGCCCCAGTCCTGTCTATGGTCTTGACTCATATTCTACTTCAGTGTGTGTGTAAAAATGAGAAACGCTTCCTAATTCAGAAAAAGACAAAAGTTTACCTTTTCTGATTTCTTAATACATGTTCTAAACAAGTTCTCTTTCTCTTGCTGTTTTCACTGCTAGAGGTCACCTATAAGCAAATGCTCTACCCGAGTCACCTCCCTCTCTAGCCCACAACCATGTCTTTTTGTCACGATGGCAGACTGAGTGCCTGTGAGGAGGAACTTGGAAGCACAGTTTGGCTAGGAAGTACCTGTGAGAACAGCATCAGTGTTTCTAGCAGGCCTGCACCTCCAGCTTTCAGAGACTCACTCTGTAGCCACAGCAGCCTTGAGTGCCCAATCCCTGGCCCTTGTCTCCTTCACACTAAGATCACAAGTGTGCTACCACAGCCAACTACCGGTTATGTATTACACTTCATGGTGATTTTTTGTTGTTTCTTTTTTTGAAGTTGTATATACATTGTATAAAATCCAGTCTTAATTCCATGCTATATATTTTATGTGATGGGAATAAATCAGTATTACTTACAACAGAAACAAAGCAACAGTGCTATGAGGTCCAATTAATGACCAATTCAATACAGAGATTTGAATTCAAACTTCTGTTTTCATTCTGATATTTTATGTTCAATTAATACCTTCAACCATGACAATATAAGGCATGCCAAGAATGATGTGACATAATAGGAAGTAAAAGTCTGGGGTTAAAAATAGTCCTGTTGGGGCTGGAGAGATGCTCTGGTCAGGAGCACCTGCTGCTCTTGTAGAGGACCTAGATTTGGTCCCCAGCACCTCCACAGCAGCTTACATCTGTAACCCCAGTTCCAGGACTCCAATGCCCTCCTCTGGCCTCTGTGGGTACTAGACACACTTGTGATGCAGACATCCATGTAAACAAAATCTGAAGAATAAACGTGTCTTTAAAACTCTCCTGTGTTTTTTAGGCAGCACCCAGATACTGGGTGAGTACAGAACTCCAACGGCACTAACTCATCAGCTATAAACAGGGGCATGCACGTGTTACTGCATTACTCACTTCTGCAGGAAGGTCACAGACTCTCTGAAAGGAAGGGGACAAGGAAACACGAGATCACACACCTGTCCAAATGGAAGGCTGCCACCTCTGCATTGTGCCTGTCATAGCCAGCATATGGCTCCCCTTCTACCACATAGTCTCTGCTGTACCTGCAAAGGGAATGGGAAGCAGACACAGATGTGAATTACATCAGTGTTGGAAGGACAGCACAAGAGGTAGAATCCACCTGTCAGTGAGTCCAGTCTGTTCCACACCCCTTTTCTGTCAATCCTGAGAACTGATGAGCTGAGATGAAAACTATCTAAAATACTGTTTCTACTTCAGGAATCATCTTTGAATAAAACACACATGACATTAGGTTTACTTCTCAAAAGTCTTTCAGTGTAGTTTAAATACAACCACAAGGTGAGTTTCTGGAAAGAAAGAACCATCTTTGTATCTCTAGCATAGTATTCCACCCAGAGTCATGCTGCTTAAGAAATGTCTTTAAAACATTTATTAATGTTGTAAGGCTTATAGGAGAAGTTTAAATTTCTTGGGGAAGCTCCTGCTGACACCTGTTTTGTTAATGGGAAGGCAAAGGTGCTTCTGCAAACAGCAGTCTGAATAGCCATTCCTGTTCTCGCTTTTCAAATTTATCCTGGACTGGTAGTAAGAGGATAGCCTTGAGCAAAACCTTTTTGTTCAGCATCTCAGTGATCCCTTATCTGTAAGACCCAGAACTGGACTGAGGTAATTTCTAAGTTCTCTTCATCTTAGGAAGCATTCTGATGATTTTATGACACATGCATTACATAAAGAAAAACTGGGACCTTTCTTTCAAAGATACAATTTAAAACTTGTTAATTAGGAAGGAGAAAGTATTTAACTCACCTAGGGCTGCTCACCTGCATTCTGAACCAAAGGGGACCCCTGGGACTTTAAAAGGAAATTGTGACAGAAGAGCAGTGCCCCCAGAACATAGCATTTCTGATGCTTGAACAGTGATCATCAAGTGGGAAATGGGACCACAAGAAGTAATGACCTTCAGCGTTCTTAGAATACAAAGTGAAACCCAACTCTAAAGCATATTTTCAAGACAAAGTGGCCCAGGGGGTCCTATCAGAAGGCAATCATGCATCACCATCTTCTCAGCCTGATCTGGTAGCATTCCTTAAAGTTCCTTAGGTTCCTTAGGTTTATACCGGCTGCCCTTCAACTGTCAGTTTAAAAATACCACTGCAGCAGAAGCCAACATGGTAACAAGCACTCTTCTCTCTACCACAGGTGCAGGTGGCCATTCAGCTGGGGAACAGGCCCTGAATACATTTCAGGACTTCAGCACAGTCATGAGAAACTATGAGATGCGGTACAGCACATCTCCCGCTGATGCCTCACAGACCTTCCCACTAGCTAAAGGCGGCTGAGAGTGAACGCATGAACCACAGGCACCTAGGGACTCCACAGTAAAGAGAAGAATAAGAATCAAAACAAAGGAAGCAGAGTGGAGTCAGGAGGCTGAATTCTGAGTTGTATATGATTGTGTTTTGTGTATGTGTACAGATTTGTATGGGTGTATGGGTGTGTGTGTGTGTGTGTGTGTGTACATGCATGTGAAGGCTAGAGGACAACCATGTGTCATTCTTTAAACACCATCTAACTTTTTAAAAAGTGTTTTTCATTGACATGGAATTTATTGGTTGGCCAGTGGGACCCAAGAATCCACTGACTCTGTCTCCCCACTACTGAGATCACAAACACACATTACCTTGCCTGGCCTTGCTCACATGTGTGTATATAGATATGTTTGCCTGTGTGAGTGCGTATGGAAGCCAGAGGGTGATGCAGAGATACCTTTCCTTTATTGCTCTCTACCTTATTATGTTTGAGACATGTCTCTTCCCAAACCTGAAGCTTGCTGCTTCAGCTAGTGTGAATAAGAATGGCCTCCACGGTGAGTTCCAGGACAGCCAAGGCTACACAGAGAAACCCTGTCTCGAAAAAGCCAAAAAAAAAAAAAAAAAAAAGAATGGCCTCCACGGGCTCCCGTATTTGAACACTTAGTCATCAGGGAGGAATACCATGCAAAAGGATGATAGGACTAGGAGTTGCAGGCACAGGTGTGTGGTCGTGTTAGAGGACATGTGCCACAGAGGGTGGGCTGTGAGGTTTCAGGAGCCCATGCCAGTACCTCCTCTCTCCTCTCTGTCCCTGCTTGTAGACCAGGATGTAGCATGGTACTTCCCGAGAACCATGCCTGCTCGCCAAGCTCTCTGCCAAGATGATCATGAACTAAGCCTCTGAAACTGCAAGCAAGCCCCTAACTTTATTAGCACTGCCTTGGTCATGGTATCTCTTCACTGCAATTGTTTGTTGCCTATAAAAATCAATTTACTTCTCAAATGTATACAAGTATAATGGGAAAAAAATTACTTGTATAATATACTAAAAAATAAGTGTCATATTTTGTGTGTGTGTATGTCTGTCTCTCTCTGTGATAGAGATAGAGATAGAGATAGAGATAGAGATAGAGATAGAGAGAGAGAGAGAGAGAGAGAGAGAGAGAGAGAGAGACTGGCTTCAAACTCAGAGATCTGATCTGACTCCCAAGTGCTGGGATTAAAGGTGTGCACCACTATGCCCAGCCAAACCATGGACTTAAATTAACATACTATTATTGGCTCATCAATTGGATAATTGAACAACATTAGTAGCTTAGGATAATTGGAGGGAAAGGTAGTTAACGGAACTTATTTAGTATTCATCCTTAAATAAACCTGTAACTGCTCAAAAAATAGAAACCAAACACAATGAGAATCTTCATGAATCAATGCTTCAGCACTGACAGGGACTCCCCCATCTGAAGTCCACTCTAACTCTATCTCCTCATCTTTGGATATCCAGTTTTCAGTTGTACTTTCGGTGGAGGGGCAACAAATTGTTTATTTTCTACTCGGTTCATTTTGTACCTCTAATACTTGCCACACTGAAGTTATTTAGTATACTAGAAATCAATAGCCAGGCATAGAAGCTCAGGCCTGCATGATGCAGGAGGATGACCAAGTTGAGACTAGCCTGGGTTATATAGTGAAACTGTCTTAAAACAAACAACCCAGCAAACAAAGCCCAGGAGAAATCAACATTAGCTCTGTTCAAAAGGTCAGTTGTTTGTTTGCACCTTACTGAAATGGCCCAGGCTGCTCTCCAATTTGTAACAATTCTTTTGTCAAACCTTCCTGAGTGCAGATGACAGGTCTGACTGAACCACCATATCTGGCTTTTAAAAAGACCTAAAGGAATCAAGACAAGTTCCCAGAGATTTCTTCCAAAGAATCCCTGAACCTTCAGAACCAGACAGACTTTGGAAATGTTTCGGTCTAGCTATGTCATTTTACTGAGAAGAACAGCAAAGAAGATGCTCTTCTATGAACCCCAAGTAGACTGAATCAGCAACAGCAAGTACACCTTCTAAGATGAAGACTCACCGCTTAGGTTTGAAGACAACTTTCTGTCCTCCTTCAAGAATCAGTAAAGCTTTTAGCTGTGTCCCTTTATAGCCCACGTCAGCTTTAATGATTTTCTTAGTGGCCATGGCATGCATGATTGCTCCCAGCTCTGGTGTCTCTTCAGGGTACACTTCCCGGGGCACCACCCACTGGGCTGCAATCTCCCAAGGAGACTGCAGGGTGTGGTCCAACTTGGGCACCAGCTCCACCCGCAAGCCAGTCATCATTCGGTGAAAAGCCCTCTGGTCCTCTCGGTTGGCAGCTGACGTATCTAAATTGTCTATCAGGAAAACTTTGGTGAAGATAAGAATGACGAGGAGTATTGCTAACAGCACAACTCGCTGCTTTAGCTTCATGCTGGCCTCTCTCTCTTCCTTCTCCTCGACCGACCCACGTCCTTGCTGGCTTATCACGGAACGGTGGTGACGATTAGCAAGGGGATTCCATGATTACAGATATCTTCACTGCGGCGCCTCCACAATTCCTGTAGGCCAAAGTACAGAGGACGATTTGATCAGGACTTCCAGCCTTCTGCCTTTACATGTTGCAGGCCTCTAATACGTCACTTACCCTTCAGTGACTCATTGTTAATACTGAGCTGGAGAAGGCAGGCCCACTAACTGAAGACAGTGTGGGAAAGACCTCAGAAGGAAGAACTGGGTAATCAGAAAATTATAAGAAACACATTCCCATTTTAATTAGGATGGAGGGGTGGTCATCTAGGAGCCATTTGTCTGCTATATATATTTCCAAAAAATTTATAAAAATACAGGGAGAAAAAAATAAAAGCAAAACACTGAGCTAAGCTTAAGTTTTACTGTTCAAGATCCATAAGTGAATCCTTGTTATGTCTAGTTATTTCCCACTTCCTTCCTACGTAAGTTTTCTGATACCTTGTGCAATAGGAACTCCCAAGAATAACAAAGGTCCAGGAGAGAGGCATAACTCCTTTTTTTTTTTTTTTTTTTTTTTTTTTAAAGATTTATTTATTTATTATATATGAATACACTGTAGCTGTCTTCAGACACACCAGAAGAGGGCATCAGATCTCATTACAGATGGTTGTGAGCCACCATGTGGTTGCTGGGATTTGAACTCAGGACCTCTGGAAGTGCAGTCAGTGCTCTTAACCACTGAGCCATCTCTCCAGCCCCCCATAACTCCTTTTTAAATGTAAATACCCAGCAGTCAGACTATGGCTATGGGCATGTGATTAAGTACAACACTCGAACTTGGACACTTACCCTCCTTAATCAGACCTCCACTAATTATTTTTCCCGGTAAAGTATAGATAATCAAATCTGGATGAAACCATTTCCTTTACTAAGCCATCTGGCTGTTAACAGACTATAGCAGACAGCTCACAAAATCTACCAGTTAATGCCTTGAATGGGGAGGCAAACAGCAAGGATGCTAATGCCATGGACTAAAATGAGTGTTACTTCCAGGGTGCACTCACCACACTCTGGGCAAGTCTCGAGACAGAAGGGTCAAAGCACACACTTCCGTTTTATTTGTATACTGAGAGTTTGCTTTTCCCCTCCACTGGGATTTGCTTTTAAGACTGGATCTCATGTAGTCCAAGGCTGAACTCATGAGCTTCCTGCTAACATGGAACAAGCACTGTGATAAACATGGGCTGCACTGCCCAGCTCCACAAGGCCATTGTAATGTGCACAAGCTCATTCTGCTATATGCCTACAGATGGTACTATACAGCAACGGAACAAAATAAATGACAAGAAGATAACAGGGTGCTGCTTCGTTCTACAATTCACTCAACAATCCAAACCATTAATCTAAGAAATAAGACCAACACAAAGAACAGAGCAAACAGTTTTGCTGAGACACTCCTATCTAAATTTGAGGCTTCTTTAACAAATGGAAACAATCCACAAGGAGACTTCTGAGCAAGGCCTGGCCTTGAGGCAGCTGATACGGCATTCACTCTGAAGGACCACCACTCCTTCCTGTTCTCTTCATGAAGGAAGCAGACAGTGAGAGTCAAGTCCCGACCACCCACCACCTGCGTCACCACCATTGCTCACCAGTTAAGCCAGGACAAAAGCTGTGTGACTGCAACTAAAAACGTCATTGTTTTTATCTGGTTATTTTTTAAGTTAGCACACAAAGTAATAGGCTTCATTATGCTAAGTGTAACTTCGATGCTATCGGCTTTGGCATGGCACTCAGTAAAAGCAGTTCCTGCTAATTATGCACACCGCCCGTGTCAGGAGAGTGGATTCAGTATTAGCTCCAGTGATCCTGTTCTTTCTTCATTTGGTCAAGAGTACACATTGCAGGGTGCAGGAATAAAGTAAACAGAAAGGTAGCAGCATCTTTAGCACCTCCAACCAAATAGTCACAGCCGAACACTGAGCAGTTCTGGCTAACGGAGACTGCAAAAGGGGCTTTTCCTTTCTAAAAAATGCACTTTGGAACTGAAGTCTGGCTAATTACCTTTTGATTGTATATATGTAATGGTTATGCATATTTTACGCAGAATAGAGTGTCTTCCCTCATATTATATTAAAAAAAGCATTTAAAGACTTCTTTTTGTTTGTTTTGTTTTGGCTGGCCTTGAACCTGAAGCAATCCTCCCCACTGCAGATATGTACCACCCCATCTGGGCTTGGAACTGTTTTGTTTGTTGTGCTGGGGATCGTACCTGGAGCCTTGTGAATGCTATCCAAATGTTCTACCACTGAGCTGTACACCCCAGCCATGTCTGAAACAGGAAGTTTTAACAGTCCTAAAATTAAGACAAAAAGATTCACATTGAAAATCCAGTTTGTGGGCTGGAGAGATGGCTCAGTGGTTAAGAGCACTGACTGCTCTTCCAGAGGTCCTGAGTTCAATTCCCAGCAACCACATGGTGGCTCACAACCATCCGTAATGGGATCCGATGCCCTCTTCTGGTGTGTCTGAAGACAGCGACAGTGTACTCACACATTAAATAAATAATAAATAAATCTAAAAAAAAAAAAAAAAAGAAAAAAAAGAAAATCCAGTTTGTGCCAGGTGGTGGTGGTGCATGCCTTTAATCCCAGCACTTGGGAGGCAGAGGCAGGCGGATTTCTGAGTTGGAGGCCAGCCTGGTCTACAGAGTGAGTTCCAGAACAGCCAGGGCTATACAGAGAAACCCTGTCTTGAAAAAAACAAAAACAAAAACAAAAAAAAAGAACTAATCAATTCTGCACTAAAAACAATTCATCTATTCAGGTAGAACAGAAATTTACATTAGGAGAATTGAATTAAACTGTTACATTCTCACTATTCATCTTTGAAGAATTATAATGAGAGTAGATGTGGAATAAAGAAGGGAAGTGTGCTTTCATGTTTGAGACTCATGAAACCCATGTGACACAGGGGTCTAAGACTGCGGGGTGGACTAGTCTTCCTTCTTCTTTTGAAAGGAGGAGAGGAATTGTTCAGACAGGGCCTCACTATGTAGCCGGCCCACTGCCATTTTAGACGTGTGGTGGGACTGCAGGAGGTGCCTACATACCTGCCAGGGACTGGCACTGCTCCTTACAGTTCTCTTCCACTTCTATAGCCCCAGGCAGTCACAAGCTCGCTGTAATGTTCAGTTCCACCATCCGACCCTGGAAAGAACAGACTTCTGGGCCTGTGGGCTTCAGTGGAGCCTAACTAGTCCCTCAATCATCCTGAATTCTAAAAATTCCTTAACAGGGCATTAAAGGCTTATTCTAAATCAGCAGTTCTCAACCTGTGGGTTTTGACCCTTTGGGGAGTCAAGCGACCCTTTCATAGGGATCATCTAAGACCATGAGGAAACAGATATTTACAATTCTTAACAGTGGAAAAATTATAGTAGTGAGGTAGCAATGAAAATAACTTCATAAAAAAAATGAAAATAACTTCATGGTTGGAGGTTGCCACACCATGAGGAACCGTATCAAAGGGCCGCAGCTTTGGGAAGGCTGAGGACCACTGCTCTTTGTGGCATTGAGTGAAGTGGCTCTCTCGTTGTCATCTTGGCTCCTAACAAAGAACTTATGGACGCTGGGTCTCGATGTACAGCTGCCCTTTGCTACCACCATTCCTCACCTTCAACACCCTTAAGACAGCCCTTCCTCCTTACCTCCTCTTGTTTAAAGCCCAGTCTTTCTCTCAAGGCCCAGCTCTAAAGGCGTTTCTAGCTCCTTCCTCCCCTGTTAACACCTCCCTCCTTCTGACCAGTGCAGAAGTACATTCTGCCTTACACAGCCTTGCACACAGTTCCGAATTCTCTGCCCAGAATCACAATTCCTTATGAGGATCCCACTCGCCCCTTTATATTTGAGAAAGGGTGCCCAAGACCCAGCTTCTAAGCTGTATTATTATCCTTTTAGATTGAGACAAACAGTCTATTATATACTCTGCAAGCTGGATTTTTAAGATCTTCCACTACAGATGCCAGAAAATAAAAGCAGGCTCACTGGGTATCTTCCGAACGACTCATGAACACCTCCCTGGCACTCCCAGAGAAGCACTGCCCGCCTGCTCTACTTCACGTCCTCACCTCCCGCTGTAAATGCTCACACAGTGCAGCACTGTTCAGCTGCACATGGTCACTTGTTTTCATGGTTGTTATATGCAACAGAGCCCACTTCAAAGAACAAGTAGACTCGAGGTGATAACATACCTCACAAAGTGTCAAATATAAAAGAGGCAGTGCAAGCAGAACATTTGCCAACAGTCTCCACATGACACGCTGGCATAAACTCAGGCACAGCGTTCTGGGAAGCAGACTTTCTTGAGGAGTTATCCTAGGAAGACTTACTGCACTCCCCAGCAGCCATGTGGGGCTTGCCACACAGGCTCATTTTCTTTCATCTTTCACACACACATACACCATAATCCTTCCTGTTGATACATGTCTGGAAGGACAAATCTTTGACTGTAAAGTGATTCAGAGGGAAGGGAACATGGCATCTTAGTATAAAGGCCTCTGTTCAAGAATCTAGTGACGTTGCAAAGAAGATATCTAGAAAAAGGTATTGATGCAGAGGTGTATCAACTGTGCAGTTAAACTTCACATATGTAGGTAGCTAGGAACGTGGAGAACCTCTGGGCCAAGGCTTACTGGGCTGGGGAGGTCCTGTAAGTCACAGCTCCAAGGAGGCTCCAAGCCTCATTACAAGCTGAGCCCGTCTGACTGGGCCTCTGATTTGACAGCTTAAGGCTAATTCCAACTTTTATTCACAGCTATGAAAAGTGAAAGTTTCAGTAAAAGTGAATAGAAATTTCACTTTTTTTTTTGCTAGAATTTCTAGTCAAATCAGGCTCTTCTCACATAAATGGAAGCCCTGTGACTGTAAAATACCACAAAACAAGTAAATATTCAGTTACAAACATTTTGTGCAGATGACTAGGGGATTTGTGGCATAGACTTTTTAAATAGCTAGTATGTGGTCATATTTAAGCATGTTCTCCCATGTCCTCTATCCTGAACAGAAAGTCTTAGGTCCCTTTTTACCAATCAATCTCTTTGGAAAGTATTGGTTTCATCAAAAGTGAAGATTTGGTAAGTTTAAGAAAAAAATAAGATCTTAATGCAAATTTCTTATATTTGGACATTTATTGTGTATGTAAGGGAAACATACCCAAGACATGTATGGAAATCAAAAGACAGGTCCTTGTGGGTTCTGGAGACTAAACTCATGGATCATCAGGCTAAGTGACAAGTACCTTTATCTGTAGAGGCTATACAGATAGCCCAGATCTGAATTTAATTAGGATTTTCTTATGGACTATTTCCATAGATAGACATCAACAGTTCCTCCCACCAAAGGAGGGGGTCTATTTTTTCCTCCACCTGATCTGAGCTGGCTTTGCAGCTTGTTTTGATCAAAAAGCTATACAAGTAACTATCTTCCACTTCTGAGCCTAGGCATAGAGTCATTTCATATTCAGCCCTAATATGGATCTAAAATCTACTTACATACTTTACAACCTTATTTATACAGTGCAATCGAGGCTAACATCACATATTCATAAACTACACACACTCAGCTTATAATACCAAACCTTTGTATTTCAGCCAAAGCCAATAGCAAAACTCCTAACTCCTCAATACAGAGGGAAAAAAACCACTTTTTCCTAATGTACTGACCCTCTGATTTTTAATTGGCATTAACATTACTACAGTAAGTCACATTCTTATTAGCTGTTATAGGTTTACATCCCTTGCCCCTTAGCAATTAAAAAAAAAAATTCACCATAGTCAGTCAATATAACTAAAACAGATGGGAAGCATAGCCCTACATTCTATTTCACACAAAAATCAGAAATACAGCATGCCTTTCACAAGCCTTTCATTCAGAAAACTAGCTGTGTCTTTAAAGATGATGACTCTGTCCTTAAAACTATTTTTTTTATTGTTGTTGTTTTTGTTTTTTTCGAGACAGGGTTTCTCTGCGTAGCCCTGGCTGTCCTGGAATTCACTTTGTAGACCAGGCTGGCCTCGAACTCAGAAATCAGCCTACCTCTGCCTCCCAAGTGGTGGGATTAAAGGCATGTGCCACCACTGCCCGGCTTTAAAACTGTTTAAGGCTTAAAACTTTTAAAACTTAAGTGCTGTAACTTAAAGGTACTGGTATTTTTAAAAAATATCTAATTCCTACAAGTCGAAGTTGGACTATTAGATTTCCCTTCATATTTTCATTTCCTCTTAAACATCCATACACTATCTATAAAATAAGAAGCTTCCACGTGATATCTTTTAACAGTCCCTGTGAAGGACATCAACAAAAAATGGCCACCAGGCTTTATCGAAGCATTAAGGAGACGGCCGAGGTGTGAGACTGAAAAGAAAACAGCAACAAAACACTACTCTTTTAAAAACAAAGAAAATCTTGTAATCTATCCCCTTTAAACCTTAGTTCAAGACAGCCTTCTAACCTTCTCCCTTAAAAAAAAAAAGAAGAAGGAGAAAAAAGATTTTTATCAAGACTTGGCACACAAAAAGAGAGACAGGCATTTTTCAGTGAGCCAGACACTCAGTGGAAAGTGCTTTAAAGGTTCAAGGTGTTTCATTATTCAATTATCAGTATATAACCATCATTTAAGGCTGTGTCATAGAATGTTCTTCATATATGCTTGGGAATATTTCAAATATTTCCCTCTGGTTTTTTTCTTGTTGTTGTTTTTTAAATCAGAATTGCCTTTAGGTGAGAATCACTACAGCTCTCAACAGATACATGAACATCTGCACTGAAAGACCTTACTAGTTTATTTACTTACGTATTTACTCATTTATTGTCTAGACAGAGTCTCGGTATACTGCTACTCATGCTGCTCAGAACTCTTGGGCTCAAACGATCCTCCTACCTGGGGCTTCAGGTGTACAACCAGGCCGACTTGGCACCTTAGTTTCCACCCCTACGTTCCATGGTATGTCAATGTGTCAGGCTTACAAACCACAAGAAGTAACTGTCGGAAACAAGAGAACCTCAAACGCATCTGTGCTGAAAGGATGTCTAGGTGGCTCAAGTGTGATCACTCTTTTAGAGTATGAAGGACCACCCGTGCGCATGAGCATGCGTGCACACGCACATGGTTTTGGCAGCAGACCCTTCTCTTATTGCCCAAGAATAATATATTAATGAATGATATATCAGAACCAGATCTTCGAGTATTACTGACAATGGTTTCTGAAACAAGGTCCAACACTACATCGTCCATGTTATTTTCTTTTTATGCATGTGTGTTTACACATGTAGATGCATGTGTAGGTGTACACGTGTGTGTGTGTACCTGTGAATGTGTGTTGTGTGAGATGTTTGGTGTCAGATGTTCAGTGCCGTCCTCAATCCTTCTCCACTTTATTTACTGAGGCAGAGTCAGTCCCTCACTGAGCCTAGAGCTTACTGGTTCAGCTAGTCTAATTAGTCAGCTGGCCCTGGGATCCTGTCTCAGCCTCTGGAGTGTTGTGATGAAAAGCTGCCACGCGCTCTCGGTTTTTATTTGAGTGCTGGGGATCTGAACTCAGGTCCTCCTGTTTGCATGGCAAGACCCTTACTGAGTCTGCTCTTCAGTCCTATTTTGTCTCCCAGAAGAACTACACAACATAAAATACATATATACAGGGTGTGTATACACACAAGGACTAAGAACAAGAAATGAATTAAAAAGGTCTTTGGGCAACCACAACAGTAGTTACAAAGTTCAGTCATAACGCTGGAGAAGAGTCTATAGATCCTAACAAGCCAATTTAACTATCTTAAATTTGATCTGAGGAAGCAGAGTAACCTCGGTGGCTACTCCACAGAAGGCCAGAAGCTGTACAGCTTTCCCAGCCATGAGAGGCAGACTATTAAAAGCAGATCCAGTAAGAAAAACAGCAAGGGTACACAGCCTACATTTCATAGTCACCTCTAACCCTTGTTTAATTACTGACAGTAATGGATCCGAGTGATACTAAACTTGAGACAAGGATTACACTACACATTTATAAAGAAACAAAGTACACACCATATTGTGAGACTTTTCCTACAAACACATACCTAAAATAAGAATATTTCAGCACTTAATATATTATTTCTCAACATTAGATAAGCAAGGCAAAGGTATGCGGAAACAACACAGTCAACATTTGAGAACACACACTAGTAGACTTCCTTATTCTGCATTCGGCTGTCTTTCTTATGTATTCATAATTTCATATTCATTGGCCTCCTTTTTTTTTTGTTTTTTGGTTTTTTGAGACAGGCCTTGGCCTCCTTTTATAATGTAACTAAATTAACAGACTCCTCCAACATGGCCAGTACTTCCCCACAAAGTACAGACCTCAAACATACCAAAGTACACTGTCTCACCCTGCCCCATTTGACACTCAGCTCTTACTGACACCCAGACTCTCTTTAGGTCTAGAGACAGGCAGAGAATGTCCACATTCTATTCTCTTCCAAGCAGCTCTTGCTGTCGTGTTTACATTGTAAGTTAGTCAGAAGGGAATTTCAGTAGCAAAGGAGGGCTTCTGTTCTGTGGCCCAGGCCCACATTACTGAACTCAGTCACATAGAGGCTCATAGAAGGAAGAGAGGGAGGGATGCACAGGTGCAGGAGAGGCACGTGAAGGAGAAAGAACCTTCCTCTCTCATCTCCACTGTGAGGGACAAGAGGCAGTGAGCACTGAAGCTACTGGAATGGTTATGACCAACAACTCCGTGGTTTTCTATTCATGGTAAAACACTAGCTATCCATCTACTGCTCAGCTAGCCAGTCCAAGTGGCGGGAGGAAGTCTGTGCAGCTCTCCGTAACCAGACCATGGTCAGGCTGTAGGTGGCCGGAACACCATATAATCACAGAACTAAATCCAACAATACCTTTTGCAGACACCCACCTTAATAACACATTTCCAACAGAAATCTGAAACACATTGGTTTTGCCTTTTTTTAAAAAAATTCCTTTTGATTGAAAAATGGGGTCGGGGGAGAATAAAAAGATCTAGTATTTGCACTAGAATATTTACACTTCTTCCACACCATTTTCCACTTATTAATTCAACCAACAATGAATGTACACCTACTATTCACCCTATGAATTACAACTGGAGGGTCCCATGGTAACTGTGCCCTCTACACCAATCCACAAAAGGCATCTGGTGTTTGCTCCCACAGCTCCTTCTGTCCATCACTGTGAGGGATCAGACAGCAGTCTGTACTGTGACAGCCTAGCACTCACCAGGCGTTAAACAGTTAGCAATCTGAAGGCTGAAGTTTCTGACAGTTACAGCACAGGAATGCTGGCAGTCAAAGGGAGCTAATTCATGTCCTAAAAGTAAACAGAAATTTTCATTTAGGAATTGAAAATTCAGAAGAGTTTTTTTTTTTTTTTTTTTTTTAAAAAGAAGCTTTACGGCTATACGAAAAAACTTAAAATCTATACATGGAAATTGAGAGAAATGACAGAAGTTAATAATCATTAACAGCACAAAATCATTCTATGACATAAAAGATTATGAAAAATAAAAATCTGTGATTTGCTTTTTCCAAAGTATACTTTTTTTTCACAATATATTTTAAAAAGCAAGACATGTGCTTTAAAAACAAAATGTACCTATTTTCTCACTAGTTCTAAGGAAACAAAGCAAACCAACCCCATTTCAAAAGGAAAGCTGTAAACTCCAGTTTTCAAGGCAGGGTTTCTCTGTGTAGCCCTAGCTGTCATGGAACTAACTCTGTAGTAGACCAGGCTGCCTGGAACTCAAGAGATCTGCCTGCCTCTGCCTCCCAAAGGCTGGGATTCAAGGTGTGACCTGAGACTTATTTCTTTTTTAAATTATCTTTTCCCTTCATCATTTTAATTTTTGTTCTTTATTATGAGTGAAGCTAGATTTATACACAGTACCTTTATTATTTTCCTCTATTTGTTGGCTTTTGAGGAAGGGTCTTACTATGTAGCCCTTGCTAGCCTAGAACCCAGATATATGCCTGCCTCTGCCTCAGAAACGGTGAGATTAAAGGGGCATACTAATCCCCCCCCAGTCTCCCACCCTGCACTGCTCTCCTTTGATACGCATTTTCTAATGTGAAACGGCATCTTGTTGACAGGTAATGGTTAGTTCTGGGACACAAAGTCCAACATCTTCACAAACTTTAAGAAAGTTATTAATTTAGTACAATAATTTAAAAATTGCCTTAAATTGGTTCAGAGCCTATGCAGATAATTCAGGATCTTTAATACCTGGACTTGTTTCTCAGGACGAGAACATGCAGAAGTGCTTCGCTTGCTCAAAGGGCTTGCATAAATTCAAGGAACAGGAACGGCAAGCACATTGGAATCAATGTGAAACTACAATCCAAGCAATGTAGGCTTGGTTAATGAATGACAATCTCGACTTTACCCGATTACTGGTTGCATTATAAAGCCCTAGACCTCAATAGTGAAAAGATCGCATTATTTCTTTCTTCCAACGGGAGCTATCAAACCTCCAGAGGGAACCTGGCTGAGTAGAGATGACCCTCACACCTGGCTCTAGATCCAAGTGACAGTGTTAAACATATCCTTTTCCCAAATTGTAAACGCCTTACCCATCCTACTGGAGACCTAGTCTTTAAACGAAGTAATTGTATAAGGACCATCCACGCCCTGTTGTTCCCCCTTTTCTTCTTTTTATCGGGAGCCTGACAGATCACTGACTCCTGATTAAAAAGAATGTCTTATCAGACTCCACAATCAAGGACACAGCTTCACAACGTTCACATTCATCATCAAGGCAACGTCTGGGCTCGCTCTTAATCGCTGGGCCATCACACCCGGAAATGAAACTGCCAGCGCAGCCCACTCTGGACAGTCTCAGCTCAAGTTGTGCCCCTTGGCGCTCTGAGCGCACGACCCCAGGACACGGCTGCCCTCTCCAGCCCAGGGCCTGCAGGTCACTCGAGCTCCCCGGCCACCATGCGGGCCCTGTAGGGGCTCAGCGAGCGCGAGCTCCTCGGCCACCAGGCGGGCCGCGTAGGGACCGAGCAAGAGCGCGCTCGCCCGGCCGCCGTAGCCTGACAGGAGGGCGACACCAGGGCCAGGAGCCTCTGGGGACCGTCCTTAGCAACGAGCACCGGTCACCGCAAGGACTCCCGATCGCCCGCAGCCTCGCGGGGACGCCCTTAGCTCCGCATCCGGCCCCTGAGGGAGGTGCCCCGCCCCCCGCCGCCCGCGCTTTCCCGCCCTCCCTCCCGTCGTTCCCGGGCGGGGGTCGCGCGCCCTCTCCAGCCGCGCCGCTCACCTGGCGGGACTGAGACTCACTCCATAGCCGCCCGCGCGGTGCGGTGCGGCGCGGCCCCGGCCGCCCCCGCCGCCTCCGGGGAGGGGCAGCCCCACGCCGCGCTCACCGCCCCCGGCCGCCGCCGCCGCCACTGCGGCTCCCGCCC